GTTTTTTCTTTTTTTCCGCAGTAATTCCTCCTTGCATCTTGGCTCCCACGACCTCTCTTCTCCTGGCAGCCTTGTGTGGAGCCTTCATGCCCCACAGAGTTGGGGGGGGGAAGAAGTCACAGGCTTTGGGGACAGGCAGTATGAGCATCGAATCCTAGCTACTTGTACTTGATTCTTAGCGTACTTCTCTGTGAAACGAGTACTAACCACACTTAGTCTGGTTAAGGAGATTAAACAGGAGTATACCAGGAAATGAATAAGGACACAGTAAATATTTAACGTGATGCTTCTTTCAAAATGTGATGTGCAAAGTTGAACATAATAATAATTTAGATGTGTTCTGACCAGAAGAGAGTAAATTACTTCCTTTCTCTGGGACATCAGCTATCTCCTTCATTGATGTAGCCTAAAAGTATTAGTATTATCTTTGGGGGTCAGCCAGTTTATACTATTAATTCATATTGTACTTCAAAATGCTAATTTCCACTAAGTCTTACTTACATTGTAGCTCAAAGTGTAAAATTTTAAATCAGATGAAATTTGATGAGAATAAGTATTGCTTTGGCTTCTTGCTCATTAGCTTCTAGCAAGAAAGGTCTCAGTCCTTTGAATCACAATCAAATGCTAAACAGCAGCTGCCTCTCCAAGGTGTATATTCTGCAAATTTGATGGGTATCTGATTGCTGGGAAGATCACAGACATTGGAGATAGCCAGAGGTGAGTTTTGCATCGTAACTAGGGTATACCACTAGGAAAGAGTTATTTAACTTTGCTGAGCCTTGGTCTCCTCTCTTGTAAAATGGAAGTAATAATTCAATACTCATAGTACTCACTTCAGTGAGCTGTATGAATAGGTTGTGCACCTTCTCTGATTTATTCAAGTGATTAATAAAAATATTGACCAGAACAGCACTGGAGACCAACCCTTGCACCATACCTCTATTGGCCTGTGTCTGGACTGAATAACCACTGTTGTTTGAGCACACGTATCTGCTTCATCATCCAGCCCACCCCGCTTCATCTTTCAGGTATATCTGGACAGGACAGGCTTTGTCAAATGCCTTGCTAAAATCAAATGCTCATTAAGGTAAATTTCTTTGGGCTCTCTGTATGTCTTCCATCTCAGACATTGGGGTGGATAGTTACTATTTTTTAATTCTCTTTTAATTAGTTCCTCCTTGTTCTTCCAAAGGATTCCAAAGAAGTCTCTGGTTTCTAGGCTGCTATATTTCCTGAGATGATCCCTAGACAGAAGTAATTTGAGTTTCCCTGGCTTCTTTTAGAAGGAGTCATTGTATAAAATGATACACGTGTTGGCCGAGACAGATCTCTCATTTTACTTGAGGGTTTTGTGTTGAGGGTTTTGTGCGTCTGCATGTGTGTTTGAGGGTGCAACAGGACTCAGATTACATCTTTGGAACTCTTTGCTCCAATCTATTCAGTATCTCCACCACCATATCAGAGCTTAGATTTCTCATCAGTTTTGCCATCATCACAGACAATTAAGATTCAGTAGAAGGAGATAGGCTGAAATTCAATTCTAAACAGCAGCTAAATTCAAACTCCTAAAATCTGGGTGAGGTGGAGTGGAAGCGTGTTCTGATAATTCAGTTAGTGAAGGAAAAAGCGCCCCCTAGGAAATCATAACAAATCGTCTTAAGCAAGTCCTTTTGTTGACAACTTTATCCAATGAGCCATCTTCCCTGGAGACTTTCCTAAACTTTAGACTAATCCTCTCCTTGCTGCAGAAGTTCTTTTGTGGGGGGAAATTGTTAAGTGATTACAGGAATGGCAGGCCTCTGTAAGCATCAGCTCTGTCTCCAAATTCTTTCCATTGTCAGTCTCTTTTCCGTGGTGTTGGGAAATCAACCTGCTGGCCCAGGGATCTCTCTATCAAATGACAAAATGAATGAAATTATTCAGAAGTCCTCTTGTCAGACTCTCTTAGTTCATGTCTAAATTTTGAACCAACCACTGTTAAATTCTAGGCAAATGGCAA